GCTGTGATGTAGGAGCAGCAGGTGCTTCAGCCAGTCCCAAGGAGATTCTGAAGCTGAGGTGATCCTTCAGAGATGTTCTGAGTTGGGCCAAGGAGGCCCGGAAATTATTGACACGAGCTGCCTCCTGGAGAGAGCTGGATTGGGTCAGGCAGATCCTCTGGTGGAGGGCAGTTCCAAGGATAGACAGAGCCTTCAGAAATAATGACAGCAGCTGGAGAAATGAGGACCTCTTGGTGCAGAATGGGGACTCTGGGGAGCACACCGCAGCGCCCACTGCATACAGCCCCAAGCCCCACTCTGTAAGTGGGTGCAGGATGGAGGGAGGGAGGCCAGCTGTTCCAGACGAGGAGCCTGCTTCCCCCGAACCACGCACAGGCTCCTGTGACGTCTCATTAGCGAAGTGCCATGTGTGGCAGAAACAGCCAAGCTGGCCCCTGCATCCCAGGTACAAATGTTCCAGAGATTTCAGTCAAGGAGGGAAGGAACCCTTGACCGTTCTTCCTTCCCAGGATCGCGGGCTCCTACCCCTTGAGAATGCGCTTCCCCACACAGGGGAGCCGCTTGGTGACAGCGCTGTTTTGAAAGTGGGCACAGTGACATCACCAAGGCCGTGGACAGAGGTTCTCGGGCAGTTTCCTCGGCAGGGACCCGTTTGCCCCTTCCGTCGAGGCAGCCCCTGGCGGAAGCTTGGTGTATTCAAGTTTTGTCACCTTGGATGAAGTGACCAAAGCATGACGTGACAAACAGCGCTCCTCTCCCTGTCCCCACCGGCTGGGGCGGCGAGTGACCTGGGACCTTCTGTCTCTAAGCACGTGCTCTCACGTCGGAAGCCACAGAGGAGGCTCCAGAGGGTCGTCTCTGTTCATCAGCCTGATATTGGGAGGGAGTAGACCCTGCGCCTCTTCAGCCCCTGGTTCCATTATTGCCTGGAAAACGACTCCCCGTCCCAGGATTCCCCGTGTCCCTGCGGCCCCAGCCTCTCTCCCCCCGGGCCTCCCCTCCTGGGTCTGCATTCCCTCCTCCCACACGGCCAGTGGAGGACAGATGCTTAGCCACCAAGACGAGTGGAGGGCCAGCTGCACAAGTGCCTACGGTCCTTCCTGTCACCAGGCTTGCAAGCAAGATGTGTGTGTTTGCCTTCCTTTTTACAGGCCAGGCATCTGGGAGACGAGGCCATCGGGTGTGGCAATCAGAGAGGTAAAAAGCAGAGCAAGACGCTCCTGGTGCCCCATTACCTTGAGTTCAGCATTTCTCTGAACCACGAAGGCGGGAGAGGGCCACCTGGAGCCGGTGCGTCATGAGACTGCCCTGGTGACGCTGCAGGTGACCCACACCTGCAGAGCCGTTAACCCTGGCCCCGCCAGCTTGCAGGACCCTCCTGCAACTGACAGAAGCAGCACGCCTCCTCAGGCCCGCAGACCCCTTCAGAAGACCTTCTGGGGATCGATTGTCCAAGGCCACCCCGCAGGCAGACCGGGTCCTCCTG